ATGATTTTTTTAGTATCCTGTTGTATCACCTAACTACTAACTCAACTGATAATTTCTTGGTTAGTCATGTCAGCACAAATAGATTCACTGTCACCCCGTCTCAATAATTCCCTTGACCTATAGATATTATACAGCAAACATCTTCCCAGGTGAAAAAAACCAGCACAATATCTAATTTTGTATAGGTTGTAATTATTACTTATGGATCTTTTAATCCATTTTAATTTTTGCATTATCCAAATATTTATACTCTTTTTTATTCAATATATTTAAAGTATATAATATATTTTGATTAGCTAGATAGATAAATTATAACTACATTCAGGCAAATTTATATATACATCACCTCATTAAGATCTTTTTTTCTAGTAAAAATGCATAAAATTACTCTATTAGCAAATTTTCAGTGTATAATATAATATTATTGCCTATAATACTTTGTATATTATATCTCTAGACTTATTTGTTTGTCCTCTGTAAATTTCCCCACTTCCACTCACTACCCACCACAGTAACAACCAGTCTACTCTTTATTTGCATAAATTCAACCTTTTTTTAGATTTATCATATAAATGAGATCATGCCATAGTTTTCTTTCTGAATAGTGGTCTGGCTTATTTAATTTAGGGATCCCTAAACACATATACTACCCTCATTGTTGGTGAAGAACCCCATCTTCCACTGCTTTGAAAAATTAAGACCATTAAACTTAAATTTCTCTACCTTACTTTTGAAAGTATGTATTAATATTGTATTTAATCATCATCTCCCCCTTTTCTTCTGTCTTGGGAAAATTGGTACTTTTCACCTAGGTCTAATGCTCTTGACTATGATCGCGACCTACTGGAACTCTTTGGTCAATCTATTTTAACTTTTTCAATGTATTTCAACTTTTCCTACATTTGACACTTTCATCTAAGCTACAGTCTTCCCTACCCTAAAAATACGTTCCTTTGATTCTGGTTGTCTCCATATACACGGTCACCATTGCATATGTATTCTTATCTTCTCTTCCGAATTTATCAGAAGACCAGTATACATGTATTGTGCTTAATTACTCACATATTATTTTCTTCTTAGCCATTTGGAGGGTATCTAGCAACACAGAGTTATCAAGGAGAAGATAGTGACTTTCTCTTTTCTACTTGATACTCTATATTTTTTAATTTTCAGTTTGTTCTACCATCCCCTGAATAAGGCAATAATTAAATCCTATTCATGACAGTTTCTCTTCTCATTTGCCACTATTTCCCTAGGGAAGTTCATTTACTCCTCTGGAGAAAAAAATGTGTCTACAATTATACTTGTGACTTCTCCCTTGAGCATCACATTTAACTCACAATAGCTTTCGGACACCTTCAAATTTACTATGTGCAAGTTTTAATCCAATATTCCCTTGCAAATTACATCTTTGCTTAATAATTTGTTTTATAATATGGTTAACTTTTCAATCATCCAGGCATATTCTATTCATTCATTTCCTCAATTTTTACATTTCTCCTACTTTAATGACAAGTTGGTGGTTCCATTGCATAAGATATTCAGCACCATCTTCTTAGTTGAAGTCACCATAATACCTGTAATAATATCATAGAACAGCCTCCTTTTTACTAAGTTATCACAGTAGATAACATAACTTTATCATCATAAAGTTATGAAATTCAGAAGTTTAATAATCTTTCTTTCTTTCTTTGAATCTCTCTAATACCTTGTTTTCAGTGAATTATGTTACAATACATGCATACAATTCATATCCATGATCTGATTTCATCGAACTTCAGCAACAGTAATTTATACTGTTTTACCTACATATCATTTTACCTACATATCATTGCACTTGACATAATGCTTTCCAAGTTCCTGTGCTTCCTTAAGCCAAAATCCTTTAGACCCATTTAATGATCTCTCAAAATTCTATTCATTCTTTAAGGCCTAATTATAACAGTAGCTCCTTAATGACAGGCTCCCTTTACCACACAGCAACAATGACCCATTCATGCAATCCAGGCAGAAATAAACTCTGCAATTGCAAGCCAAAATACTACATTGATCTTATAATAAAATACCAGAAGGGTTAAAACATGGGTTCTGGAACTTTCATGGGATCTAATATAATCACATATTGCCAGACCTGGGTTTGCTATGTTTGCTTCTAATAAATAATATCATTTTGAATGAGTTACTTAACTTTACGGTATCTTACTTTCCTCAGCCAAGATATAGAGCTACTTGATGGTAGTTTTGTGAGTAGTCACAAGACAATGTCTATAAAGTGCTTAGTGCTTGACTTAGAGTTACTATTAAGTTAAAAATAACTATTATAATTATTATTCCTTAAATTTAAAAAGATCACCAATTTATAAGGTAAATGAATCTCTATAACGCTGCAAAATTTTTGTGACAGATTTAGTAAAGATTTTGCCTATACTAGTTGTCCAGATTCCTTCTCTGAGATGTTCAGGAAGATTTATTACTCCTGTGAGCAATAGTTTGGTTTGAATGGAATTGTTCATTTTTCCCAAATCAAGTGGCCCTGATAGCTAAGCAGTTGGTTTCACATGACTAAGCTAGCTATCATTTTCTTGCTACCTTGTCAGTTTCTCCATTGCAGCATACAACACTAAAAATTGCTTGGGTCAGCATGACATATGGCCTTTGTAAATAAAGCCTTGTGTATCTCTGACGTTCACATAAAATACCCTAAAACTAAAATCTTAAGAGATCACTAGGTTCAAAAGAGATCTAGTTGTGTCCATGTAGCTTGGGGACCAAGCCAGAATGTCACTATCCTCCAAGTCATTGTCTTTAGTTATTGGACAATTGCATTTCCTGGACAGTTTTCCTTTATCTGGTCTTGAATTGCTTCCTTGTTACAATGCTCCCCAGAATTTCTGGGGACAGATAATGAACAGAAATAACTTTCTAATCATGTGGACTTCGTGGAATTGAAACTTGCTATTGATTTTATTTCAAACCACAAAATTAGCATGTCATTAAATATAGTATATAAGCATACACAAAAATCAGGTAGACCATCATCAGCTCAGCTTTACCTTCACTTCTTGTCCTTCATACTGGAGAAAAGGTAAGAATTTCAGATATAAATATGACATTTCCTCCTCACCATTTATTTCAAATTAGATTGAGCTCTATAAAAAAATATATATATATTCTTTAAAAGAAAAGTATTTAAGGTAGTAGTGCAGAAACTATTTTAAACACTTAGGTTAAAAAAGGTAGAAGTGTAGTACCAAGTAGGTGACATGGTGGTTAAGGTGCTGGGCTCCAACATGGTTGACTATAGTTTGAGTCTCAGACTGTGCAGCTTGAAATTCATACCAGGTGCCAGTGTGTGCATTTCCAAAATCCTGAGAAGAGAAGAGAAGAGAAAGGATTGCAATGTAGCCATCCCCCTCAGAGGGTGATTTCTCGTTTTCTGTCTCTCTGTCAAGCACACATGCCAAATAGCAAAAATCTCTGGGGAAAAAAAAAACAAAACAGGTAGCCATTCTTAGAAGTAATTAGTAAAATTTATAATGATCATTTAAGCTTCAAAAGCCTAAGAAAATGAACTAATTAATAATATGTATGAAATTTTTAGTTATATGTAACTAATTATAATATCTGTGTTACTATTAAACATGTATATATTTAATATTAAGCCAGTTAATAGTTAATAATAAGAGACAACACAGTTCTTGAGTTAAATGTCTTCTGACTTAACTTAACATCTCTCAGTCATAAAAACAAATATATTTATTAAGTTATAGTATAGAAAAATTAATAATTACTAGAAAAACTATGAAATAGGTATTTTATACAGGTGGAATATTGAGTCAAGGAATAGAAGAGGTGGCTTGGGGACATGCATTACTTTAAATGTTTATAAACAATGTTTTCAGAAGAAGAATGTACTCATCAAACTTGTCTAGAATCCTCAACTTCCCAGTTTATCATCAAAATAATATTCAGATAGAGAACATGAAAATACAGAAATAAATTAAAATTTAAAAAAGTGTTCCACTTTTTAAAAAAACTCTGGTTGGGACAGAGATGACTTGAAAAAACAAAAATGAAAGAAATAGATTTTTCTGACTTAAAAATCAGTATATAAAATATTAAGTATAAAATATAGAAAATGCAATCAGAAATTCCTTATTGATAGTATCTATACCAAAAAACATTCTTTTTTGGAACCAGACAATAAAAATTTAGTGAGAAACTTGTGGAGGTCTTAGTAAAATTAATGATGTATTATATAACACCTATCAGAAATATGTAAAAACAATTCACTCTATAATTTTTCTCAGCCTACAAATATTAAAAAGAACCTTTAGAGATAAATTAGGAACTTCATTATGAATGGTGTTTAGTTCAGAAATTTGTCATAAAAATCTAAGAATGATGATTAAATGCTAAATGATGTTATGACACAAACATTACTTTTTGAAATAAATTAAAAGAAATGCAAGAAAAGCAAACAAGAATGCCATTTAGTACATTTTGGCCAAAGTGTTAACATCTTTTACTAGAAGAGGTAGCCCAGAGTTGGGGCATAGGCAAGAGAATCTGACCCCTTGGTAGGAGATCAGTACACACATTTTGGTAGAGAGAAAAGAAGCTTAATGTCTGAGCTCTAAGGTCATGTGGCATGTAAGAGAAAAGATGCTACGGGTTTGTGGGAATAAAGACTGACTAGTAAGTATACTCAAAGAAGAAACAAATCTATCAACCCAAGAAAGTATGTAGATACTGGAATGAATCGAGAAAATGTTAAAATAAAAATCTTGGCCTTATTGGAATAGGAAGGTATGATTTTGACATTGGTCATATGATAAAATTTCTATTACTATTTATTTTTTCTCAAGTGCAGACTTTTCAATTATACATTATCTTTTTTTTCTTTAAAAGAAAAATTGCTCTACCTAAATGAGAAAATCTGTCTTGTAGACTCATCTATTACCATTCCTTCATTTCTCCATTCACAGGACTTGATAGCCATGAAGGTCCTCATCCTCGCCTGCCTACTGGCTCTTGCTTTTGCAAAGGAGGTATGTATAAAAATAAAAATAATAATAATAATAATAAAATGGATAACAATAGACGACAGTGCACTATCTGCCCACTCGTAGAGAATAGTATCGTCAACATTTTTTAGTACACAAAGAGTGGAGAATTTCAGCAGAATCTTTTTGGTTTCTATGAAAACTATTAATGATTATCAACTGTCTCCACATTTCCTGTAAAGTCCCAAAGCTTGGTCAAAGGGTTTCTACACCAAAGTGCTACCAGTCCCTAAAGGGAACTATAACAAATCAATAAGTAAGAAACAAAACAAGAAAGAAAAAAAAATCCATGAAAGAAACCAAACAGTATAATATTGCACAAATAACATTGCATACATGTGCAATCTAGATAAATATATTTTTATTCCAGTGGTAAAATGTATATTTCTCTTACCTTAGGACATCCAGAGGATATGCTACAGGCAATAATCCCAATCTCAAATATATTCATGATTATAATAGAACATGTTTAATACAAATTAAAGTCACTAATTTTATATTATACATCAAAAACTCTGTTCTTAATTCAGGTAAAAGAAAACTTACTAATAAAACTTACTAAATATAAGAAGCATTAGAGCAATCAGTCTTCGAGTTTCTTGACGGGCAAATATCCTTTTGTATTCTCAAATTTGTGAAAGAATTAGGTCTCCATAAAGACGTCAAGTGTAAATAAGGAACATGTCTGCTATTAGTTAGCTAGAGAAACTAATTAAACTAATTCTTTTTTTTTTCTTTTCAGAAGGAAAAACTTAGTGTAGCTAGAGAGGCAAGGCATTTTTGCTCACGAAAGACTTCTAAGTATAAAACGTTAACATTTCCTTTAAAAGATTTAAAAGATATTTTAAAGATATTTTTGTTTTCTCTTTACAGGGTGTGGAAAGCTCTAGAAGCAGTGAGGTAAGACAATGCTCTTTCAGAAGCAGTTCCCAATTGTAGAACAGTAAAATACTGCACTGTTTTTCTATTGTGTTACACCATAAGCAGTAAGCTAATGCAGCTGTGCCCTGGCACATAAATCCTGGTGAAAAGTTCCTTTTATGTATGGTTAAGAAAAGAGTAAATGTGCAGAGAACTTAATATTCTAGAATTTTCTAAATTGACTCACGGCTTGAGACAGTGTTATTTTACATCTGTTTTTTTTATGAACCATATAGTACTTCTTTCTGTCTTAGACTCTCTCTACTCTGATGTCGTTCACTTTTTTAAAAATAATTTTTCACCTCATTTTACTTATTACTGTTTAAATTTGACTGGAGAGAGAGAGAGAGAGAAAGCTGCCAGGTCTGAGAATTGGACCATGGCTGGCCATGTGGGAATCCAGCACCTCAACCACCACAGCGCCTGCCAACCCTGATATCATTCACTTTTAATGTTTATTGAATGCCTTCTGTGGCTCAGACATGGACCACAAGCTGTGGCACCAACTGAAAAATTAGGAATGCTGCTGATGATGGTTAGTAAAGAGCTTCCAGCATGGGGAAGGCAGTTTATAATTACAATAGTCACAAACAAGGAATAGTAAAAACTAGTGTATTCCTAACTCCTCCTGGGACAATCAGGTTCATAGTTTTTCTTTGCACCACTCTTCCTGAGTGCTTCACTACCTGTGAAGTAAATGAGATGCAATATATAGTAGTTTGTCTTTTCATAAATGTTATTACAGTTCATTTGAAGCCTAACACACATAACAAATAAACTAATAATGTTTAATATAATGTATCAATGGTTATTGCTTCTTAGAGATTTTGTTTTGTTTTATTTTTGTTTGTTTTTCTGGAACTTTTGCTGAGGGTGTATATACTAACGGGAGAGAGAGAGGGAGGAGGGAACACCCTCTAGGGATAATAGTCACTTGGCAACCCCTGGTCCTCAATTTCTCTCTCCTTTTGGGTTATGGGCATGCATGCACACATGTCCAGTGTGGTATTCAAGCCACTGGAGCTTACCTTGAACTCCAAAGTTGGTCATTTAGGATTCAGCTGCCTTACCATCATTCCACTGGCTGGCCCTAGGATGTGTTTTTAATAAGTATTAACATTTTTTAGATTCGGATAAAGTTTTAGAGATCACGTGTTATCATTGGAAGGGAACATGGTTGCAGAGAGAAATTAGCACCTCTTAAACCCCTGTTTTTATACAATGATCGTTCATTTTTTTTCTTTCTTGACTCTGTTCATCTGACTTTCTTTTATACACTAGCTTACACAGAACACTATCATATATAAGTTTCAGCAATTATCTGGTTATTAATGATACTATCAAACAAATATGTCCACATTAACCTATTAAATGTCCTCATTTTTATTTTATTTATACTGACAAATAAGAATTGTTCATTAAAACTGAATCTGATTTTATTTTTATTTTCTAAAGGAACTCATTACACCTATTGAGGTAAAACTTCCATATTCAAATTTTCATATTTTAAAAATTTCCCAAGTTTAATTTTTACAGATGGTAACTCTTTAACACATAATTTATTTTTAGGATAACCTTGAGACCTCTAAATATGAGCAAGAGCAACAAAGAGAGGTAATCTTTTTCGTCAGGAGTATATTTCTAAAATTGCTATGAAGTATATAGAATACATACAAAAAGAGTTGTAAGATGTTCATCGCAACAGTGGTAATAAATACTATTTACTCATTAACCAATGTAAGAAATTAAATACTGAGAAAAATCAGTGTATTTTCCATGATATAAACTTAGTTTATTTCTAAAGTATGGGCTATATACCTAATGATATTACTAATCATATATATATACTCAGTAAGTGCATATTAGTAGAAACACGCCCAGTTTGAGAACGATATTCTTCTTATTCCAAAAGTGGATATGGTGATGAAAGGAATAAAGGCAAACTTGGCACAGGTCCTAAATTGTTTACCACCTATATAACCTTGACCACAGTTGATCTGTGTTTCATTTTATTCATCTGTAAACTGAAGATATCTACCTCAGATAATTGAAGAGCTACACTTAGTGATTTTACATGAACACACTGTAGGTGTTATATGAATGTGTATTGTATGTGTGATGTTTTGAGTATTTCTACTACAAAGACGGACAGATGTGAGATACAAAACAATTGAGTACATGATTATGTGACCATATCATAGTCAGTAAATATCAGAATCTGCCTAAAAATCAGAGATTTTCCGTGGACAACATACAATTCTATACTTACCTAAATTACCTCTATGGTCACATATCCTAGTTGTAATGTGTCTACTTCCCTGTTTTATCAATGACTGATAGGTGCATACCCAAAATATTTTCTAAGCCAAATCAAAGTTTAAAAATTGACACCTCTTGGGGACCAGCAGGTGGCATGGTGGTTGGGGGCACTGAACTTCCACATGGCCAACCATGGTTTGAGTCTGGGCCTTGTGGCTTGCTTTCTCATGCTCTCTTTCTCTCTCTCTCACGCTATCATTCTCTGGTTAAATTAAAATAAATAAGTGGATACATAAATTTGAATAAAATTATTCTTTAAAAAAATTGACACCCCTTGAAAGACAGAAAAACAATTTCTCTCATGGGAAGTAATGCTACTATTTGGCTATAGTTACGTGATTCTTTGGATTTAGTCACAAATTAAGGTGAGTTTTTATTAAAGCAAATCAAAACTAAATCTTGGGTTTGTACTTCTGTATCTTTTTATTATAAATGAATTCTCCCTATATGAAAACGACTTGGTCCTATATCAATACAATGACGTTGAAAAGGCTGTCTGAAAACCTGAGTATACAGCTATAGCTATCCAGAAAACTCAGAAAAAAGAATTCCCAAATACTGATTTTATTTCACCCTGTGGATTTATGCAAGAAGTGAGTGGGTTAAGGGAACTCCACATAGAGCATTTTATTCATTTTTTCTTCACATGATCCAGAATAGTTTCTTAATTTCGATAAGTGAATAGTTTTCTCTCTGTCATTTCACTCAATTATGGTCCTCCAAAACGGAGATTAATTTATGATGAATGACAATTACATATGAATCAAGGACTCAAAGATTCTTTTTCTTTCTTTCTAGGATGTACACAAAAAAATCCACCCCATCCAGCCACAGCCTCTACTCTATCCTTACTTGCAGTCCACCCCTTCCTCTGCCTTTCCACAAAGCATCTTGCCTCTCTCTCCTGTGGCGGTGCCATCTTTCTCTCTGCCTAAAATGATGGAAGCCCCCAAACTTAAAGTCCTTCACAAGGACAGACCCATGCCCTTTCTTAAACCTTTGAGAGTGCCCCTTCTGGACCCTCATGTCCTGAATCTCGTTCAACTCAAAAATCAGTTGCCTCATTTCCAGCCCCCAATGTACCAGGTCCCTCAGCCTTTTTCTCAGTTTCCCATCCTTCCTCCTCTGTCCTCCCTGCATCATCCCCAACCCAACGTCGTGTTTTTTCCCTGGGAAGCTGTGTCCTACCCTGTGGCCAGCCCCCAGAGAGCAATGTCTGTCCCAGCCCTTCCACAGTACCAAGAACTTCTGTTTAACCCCATCCACCAGTTCCCTCTGACTCAAGGATTCCCACCAGTCTACAATGCTGTTGTTGTAAGTCCAAATTTATTTACTTTGGTGTTTTAGGCACAATACGTTTTTGATGGTAGAATAAGGGAGAGCTCTAGAATGAAAGAATAAACATATAATGAATGGATCCAAAAGGTTCTTAGTTTAAGTCAGTGATTTTGAATGCTAACTAACTTGAATGCTGATCAAGTCTTACTGAAGCCAGGGCATTTTTTTATAATCTGATTGGATTTGGAATAAAGACTTATTATTTTCTATAGTTTTAAAGTTTTTCTTGTACACCTCAATTCTCCACAAGTCTTTTTTTATATCTTGTTTTACTTATATGTATACACAAGGAGACTACAAAAGTTCAGGAAAATGTATATTATGAAAAAAAAACTATGCATAGATTTCAAAAATATCTGAGACCAAATTAAACCCATATTGTAATTCCATTTTGCCATAGTATTTTGAAGTCTCCTTGTCTGAGCGCAAAAGGTGTAGATGTCTGTTTCATTACTGATAGCCTTCTTAAGGCAGTCTTCTTACTAAGAAGTGAATTGTATATTTATTGTTTGTGTTTGTTTTTTAAGGCCTAAGAGAATTTCAAAGTTAATGTCTTCTTCTCACTTTTGGTAAGTTTTGGGGGTTTGAAGATCAAACTCATTTTTTTTTATGAAATAATTATTTTATTTAACTTTATTTATTCATTTATATATTTTAATTAGACCAGAGAGAGAGAGCCAGAAAAAGATAGAGAAAGTGAGAAGGCAAGCTGCTAGGTCCAGGATGCAAACCAGAGTCGGCCATGTGGGAGTCCAGCACCCTTAACTACCATGCCACCTGCCAGCTCCTAAACTTTTCATTTTTATAGCTGAGTTTTTTGAACATTTTTTTTCTCCTGGTTAGGCTCAAGATAATGACAAATTCTATGAATATACTAAATCACTTATTAATGTTTTAATTGTTCCCAGTAGTTGACTTATTATTTATTTTTTTCTGAGAAGTTTTTGCTATAGGACTGTGTACTTGCCAGAAAGAGAGAGAGATAGAAAGCAAGTGATCACCCACTGAGGGGAGATGGCTATGCTGCAATCCCTTCTTCTCCATTCTCCTCTTGGGATCTTGGGCACGCGCACACACACACACCCAGCATGAGTTTAAGCCACTGGGTTCGGGACTCAAACCACAGTCAACTACATGGGAGTCCAGCGACATAGCCATTAAGCTAACTGCTGGTCCCTCCAGTGTTTGACTGTTATCTACTCACATGAAATTATGTGTCTTTTGTATTTAAAATAATTTTAATTTATTTTTGTACTATTGATAGGATTGACTAACTTGTTTGCAAGGGCCTGTATTCTTATGTTTGATTATCATTCTTTTTAGGAAAAACAGAAATAAGTTTTCTTTTTTTTTTTTTTTTGTTATTTGCCAGAAGGCACATGCTTTCACTAGAGAGACAGAGAGAGAGAAAGTTAATGAGAAAGCATCCCACCTTCATGGGGAAATATCATGCAGCAAACTATTCTCCATTTGCTCTCTCTTTTCAAGATTTTGGGCATGCAGGCACACCCCCATTGAGTTTTCCAAGCTGCCAGGTCTGCAAATCGAACTGTGCAGTCAGCCGTGGGGGATCCAGTTGCCTTAACTATTACACCACAGGTCGGCTCTGCCTTCACTTTGTTTGTTTTAGGTTTTTACCATAAGGGACATGTGCTTGCCAGAGATAGACAGAGAGAAACAGAGGGAAAATGAGAAGTCACCCTCAAGGGAGGTTGGCCATGCCACAATTCCTCCTTCATTCTCCTCTCAGGACTTTTTGGGCATGCATGTACACAAGCCCAGTGTGATTTTCAAGCCACCAGGTCTAGAAGTCAATCTGAGGTCAGCCATGTGGGAATCCAGTGCCATAACCACCAGTACACTTGCTGGTCCCATCTTTACTTTTTTGTGGATATCCTTGGGATTTTGTTTAAGACAGTTGCATTCTTGCTTCTAATTCAAGCTTCATAAGCTTTGTATTTACTTTGCTTAAAATTGTCTTTAAGTAATGAGTAAAAAAGATGTATGTGTCCAGGTGAGAGTGAAAGAGTTAGAGAGGATGGATATGAAATTCTGAGATACAAAGCATACATTTTGTGATCATGATGACTAGATATTTCACTAAAATAATTCCTAGTGAAGTAATAGGTTGTCCATCGGGAACTTCATATGGCTCCAAGGAAATGCATTACAGAGTGCATTTGTAACACAATTTCTTTTATAAATTGGTCACCAAAATTACAAGTTGGGCTAGGGGAATAATTATATTATGTAAATACAACTAATTCTGTATTTATTCTCTATTTCACAGAATTGACTGAGACTGGAAACGGAATATCTTTATCTTCGTATTATGTTACTGAAAGTTAAAAATATTTGAGTGAATCTACCTGGAAAAAGTGAAACTTCGTTCCTTTATTTATTTTATGTATTATATGGTATCTATTCAATTTGACTTTGACTGATAAATTTTTTTATGATTTCCAAATTTTAATTTAATTGGTAACATAGAAATTCAACGCTGTTTGAATTACTGTAAACATATCAAAAATATGTATAAAAATAGTTTCTGAAACTGTACTTATTATTTCTTTAGGAATCTATTTCCTTTCCAGTCATTTCAATAAATAACCCTTGAGGCATATTTAAGTTGTCTTGTCTTTATTAAAATTTTTTAATACCAGCAGATGGCCTAATGGTTTCATCTCTGGACTCCCACATGACTGACCACAGTTCTAGTCCCAGACCCAGAGGTTTGAAACACGCGTGGAATATGTATATGCCTGCCCAAAATCCTGAAAAAGGAATGTAAGAGAAGGGATTGTGTCGTGGCCATCACCCATGGGGGAAGTGATATCTCACTTTCTGTCTCTCTGTCTCTCCAGCAAGCACACGTGCCCTATAGGAAAAAACTCTATTAAAAGAAAAATTCCAACCTAATTGACCTTTTCAAAATTATGTTTAAGTTATTATTGATGTTAAAATAATTGTGGGAAAATGTTTTAAAATTTAATAGAAGTAGGGAAAAATTTAAGGCAATTATATGCCCTGTTTGCTCTAGAAAGTCTTGGTTTGTGCCTGTTTCCCAGTGTAATTGTTGTTCTTGTGTCCTTCACTCTCAACAGAATACAACAATGGATAGTAATTTCATGGTCTTCCTAAGAAAAGAGCTTCAAATATGAAATCTGAATTGCAACTCTGCCATATTAGCTAAGTGATGCTGTGGGGGTTACTCGCTCAGAGCTTCAATTTCCACATCAATAAGATAGTGGCCCAGTTATGATAGAACAGGCAGTAACTTACTGATGTACAGTGTTAAAAATCACATGGTCAACTGTGGGTTTGGATTGAGAGGCAGCCTAAAACACACCAGGCACCTGTGCCCAAGTTCCTACCTAGCTGGAGGTCTGGGGGAGGGCATTCTGGAGTGTCAAGACCCTGTTGAGAGTGCCTCTGCCTCTCTTTCTCTCTCAAAATAAAAGAATAGTTCTACAATAGTCAGTGCGAAGGATTTTACGGAAGCTTTGGTGACATCTAAGAACACAACACACTGCATAGCACATAATAGGTATCCCTGTTGTGGTAAAACAGACGCCAAGGAAGGAAAATGCAGCACTCAGGACAGGATAAATAAAGAACTTCCTTCTTTATTCTGCTAGCAGGGCAGAAAGGAGTTAACACTCTGATTCTCTGCTCCCTGCTCCTCACACCCTATCCATGGAGGTTAAAGCACAGTCTTTAAATGGGGAGTTTGGGGAAGGAGGAGTTTCAGCATGGTAATGGTATCCTATCTGGAAGAAGCCCAGAGTTTACTCTAAAGAAGAAAGGATCAGATAAGCAGGGAATCCAGCTTCTCAAGGTTTCAGATTGCTTTTATCACTTCAAAGGGGGAGTAGCTTGGGAACCAGCAGTTAGCTTAATGGCTATGTCCCTGGACTCCCACGTAGTCGACAGCGGTTCGTGTCCCGGACCCGGTGGCTTAAAACTCACGCCGGGCGTGTGTGCGTGCGTGCCCAAGATCCCGAGAGGAGAATGAAGGAGAAGGGATTGCGGCGTGACCATCCCCCCTGGGGGGTGATTTCTCGCTTTCTGTCTCGGTGTCTCTCTCTGTCTGTCTGGCGAGTGCACGCGCCCTACGGTGAAAAATCTCTCAAAAAAAAAAGGGGGAGTAGCTTCATAGAGGCCTGGGAAAAAGCCAGCAATTGCCATCCTTGGGCTATTGTGAGTTCTGGACCCCCTCTCCCCTCCAACCCTGTTAAGGACCCCAGGTTCCTGATACCACTTACATCAGAGCACTGAATTTTAGCCAGCAATACACAGGAAGTAAGACTTATGCAAGTCTCATGTTCATTGTCTTTAACTGTGGAACATTTGTTTTATTGTGATGAATGACTCCTATCCCTATACCAACTCCTCCACTATACATTTAATGCTATCTCCTAGAGTTCATGCAATCTCTGACACTTATTCCCTCTTTCCTATATTACTGATATTTCTCTGACCTTATTATAGCTTAAGCATGGTGCAAATCTTGCTTATGCTATATTTCCTATCTTAAATGAAGAAAATTTATCCCTAACATTGTACCTCCAATCCCTAGGGCCCTATTGAGAATGTTCTATCTCTTTCTCTGGATCTGTGTATCTCTCTACTCATGGAAGAAATAAAAATAAAACCTAAAAATAAATTTAGTTTACCGTCTTTGGTTGGCAAATGGTGTTGGACGAACTGGATATACATTTGCAGAAAAATAAAACTAGACCCCTATCTCTCACTATTAATAAGAATCAACTCAAAATGAATCAAAGACTTAACTGTAAAGCCTCAAACTATAAAACTGCTAGTAAAAAAATTTAGAGGAAACTATGGAAGACATTGTAATAGGCAAAGATTTCAAACCTAAGACCCCTAATGCACAATCAGTAATCCCCAAAATGGACAAGGGGGATTACAGCAAGCTACAAATCTTCTTCACAGCAAAGGAAAGAACAAACAGAGTAAAAACGACAACCCTCAGAGTGCAAGAAAAT